CTATTAATTAATTAGTTTTATCCACCTCCTACTTTGTCATGTCTGCATCTTTCAAAGGTTGATACTTGTTCCTTCCACCTTAAATAAGCTTTATTGGGTCTACATCTTTCAGACACCAATGCTTGTTCCATTCATCTAAAACTACTTCAACTCGCTAAAAAAAAATTGTTAAATAATTGTGCTATCTATATACCCATATTAAATCAATTAATTGTGATCAAACATTTGTCCCAAAATATTTTAAGTTTTTAAAAGGTACATATGGGTGTAATAGTTTCCATGTCACTCTAATACCTAAATCTGTAAATTCTATATTTAAAAAAAAAATGATAGAGTTATCATCCCTAACAACTATTTATTCCCTCTAGCTAATAGCTATCAAGAGTGCATCAGCACAATTACATTATAGTGATGCATCATCCCTAATCTATCTAAAAGTAAGAAATAAGAAAATTTGTTATCCATAAATGGGTCAATATCTTGGTGCCTCAAAGTGAAGTAGCCAAGAGAAGCAACATAATCTGCTGCCCGATTTCCTTCCCGATAGATATGCTGAGAGACTTGAAGGCCGAGAAAGAATTCAAAATGTTCTTGACATTATCCATTAGCAGTTAGAGCTTCCACGGGCAGTTACAATGACCCTGCAAAATATTAATAACAGTGAGATTATCACCTTCAATAATAATATGAGTGATATTATGCTCCCTAGCTAGGAGGAGGCCATTACGAAGGGCAATGGCTTCAGCAAGAAAAGCTAGACAAGAGCCTAAATTATAAGTATGACTAGCAATATGATCCCCTAAATGGTCCCTAAGAACAACACCGACAGATGCTGAATTGTGAAGGGCGGAACCATCAAATTGAGTTTACAATAGCCTACAAGAGGTGGGGACCAAGCAATAATAGCAGAGAAGAATGGGCTTTAGTAGGAATAGACTGATTGCTTGGAATGGATATCATCCAAGAGAGAACGAGGCCTGCCATTCTTGAAATAGAGAAAAGGCACGAAAATAAATGCTAGTAATATTAGCTGAAGTATTTTTAAAATAATAGCATTACGACATTTCCAAATGCTCCAAAAAAAAGGATGGCGATCTTTGGGAGTGAGCGAGGAAAAGATATCTTGAGATATTAAAAAAATCTGGGATCGTAGGAGAGGAGGGTATCAAACCTACCCAAGTACGAACAGAAGGAGAAGACCAAAGATCTAATGAGAAAGGACATAGAAGAAATAAGTGCTGTTAAGACTCAGAATGCATATTACAAAAAGCACAAGAAGAAGGCACATTAATATTTCTAGAAATTAAGGTTTGTCTAGTAGGGACATCTATCTTATGACAACTAAAAATATCATGTTATTTTGGAATTATTAATTTTTTAAACAAAAATCATGTTATCATGTTATTTTATACTTATGTTGCCATGTGAGCAAAAGTTGGGTAGATAATTTCAAATGTTGCCATGTTCTAAATTTGACACTCGCAAAGTATATTTGTTGTACTACCTGTGGTTCTTGTTACTTGCAATAATTTTGTTTCTTTCCTTTTTTAGTAAGTTTTTGGGTGGTGAATGACCAATATACCCTTACTTTTTTTTAAACAATCTTATTAAATTACAAATCTAATTTCATTAGATTAAACCCCAAGCTTAATTAATTGTACCCTCATTCCCATTATTTTTCTCTCTCCTCCTCCAACCCCATTCTCATGGTGACGTGGCTTCGTGGGTTAAGAGCGGTGGGTTCGTCGGTGTTGGGTGGTTTCAGATCATGGGTTTTAGATCGTCAGTGTTGTTTCGGGGTTTTAGATGTCCTGCGGGAGAGTTCAATTCCAAGACTAGATTCGTGCGCTTGTACCTGCAAAACAACGGAGACTCCTGGTGGTGGGAGTTCCGCCTCCGACGATCAAGTTAGAACGTGTTCGGATGTAAAGTATGCGGAAAGTAAAGGGGATCAGGCTCCTCTCGGAAGGGGAGTGATCATCCAGCTATCTTAGACAGCCTCAAAATCCGAGCCTTAGCTCTTAAAGAGTGCAAGAAATACTGTAGTTAATGCTCAGTAATTAAGATGCACGTGTGTTTAGCCATTCCTTAATGTCGTTCCCCAGGGGGGAACATCTCCCTTTTATAAGGTCCCGAGATGTGTGTCAGTCCTAAGTTTGTGGAAACCTAGGTTGACTGGGCTTCTCTAGGCCTTGAAAGGCTGCTCATCTAAGGTGGCAATCTGTCTGCCACATGTCTGACCCTGATTGGTCCACGTAGCGAGGTGAAATTTCCCTAATCAACTGTGGTTTTAGATTGTCGAGTGTGGGTGATTTCAGATCTTCATTGCTGGTTTCAGATCGTCGATCGTGGGTGATTTCAGATCAACGTCGCTGGGTAGGTTACAGGTCATGGATGGTTCAAGTCGTGGGTTATTGCTGGGTTGTGTCGGTGGTTGGTGCTGGGTTGTGTCGGAGATCGTGGGTGGTTCAGATTGTAGGTTGTTGTTGGGTTGTGTCGGTGGTTGGTGCTGGGTTGTGTCGGTGATGGTGGGTGGTGTCGGTCGGTTGGTGCGGGGTTGTGTCGGGTTGGTGCTGGGTTTTGTAGGTGGTCGGTGCTGGGTTTTGTCGGTTGGTGGTTTCCGTGTTGCTGGGTGGTGGTGGTTGGTGGTTTCGGTGTGCTAGGTGGTGCTAGTGGTGGTGGGTTATGTGTTTAAATTTAGTTGAAAATGTTTTTTTTTGTTTGATTAATACTTAAGTATATGCCCTTATTTTTCGCTAACTACACTTAAGATCTTTTGCCTAGAACTCTGCAAAACTCCTCTTTGTTGCGACTAACAAGAACCGGAGGTAGTATTTTTTAAATTTGTTTCAATGTATATTCATGATATCATTTTGTATCTCTAATTATGTACTAACAAGTACAACCATACGTGCGTTGTAACTAAAAGTGAACAAAGTAAAGCATCACAGGGTTCCGCCCTTCTCTTTAGAATCATCTCCTCTGTTTCTTCTCTTTTTTGTTCATCTTTTCAAGTTTTCTTCTATCCTATGTTCTCTTTTTTCTTCTCCTTTCCTATGTTCTCTTTTTGCTTCTCCTTTCTCTTATGCTCTCTCCTTTTGGTATAATTTTTCTCTGAATTAAATTAAGTACTCCTTGCTCCACCATCATCGTCACCGTGTTGCCTCCAACATGATTTTTTTATCTTGTTTTTTTTTATCATGCATGTCAGCCCTTTTGCCCCCTTTGTTTTGATTCTCAGCCTTCCCATCACTTCTACCGCTTCGTTTGATCGGCTAGTCGCTGCCTCGTGCATGTCTCTTTCGATCTACGGCATCTGATTGTTGTCGGGCTCCACTGCCTTAACCACCTCTGTTTGGTCAAGCTACATCACCTCCGGCCTGTGAATTCAATTCTCGGCCTCCGTTTTTGTTTGTCGACCGCTTACTTTTGGTTTATTTTTTATTTATATTTTTTCTACTATATTTTAGCTTCCTAGGGAAGCTTATGGTTTAGCTTTCTTAAGAAGCTTTGTGATTAATAAGTCTCTGTTTGTAATTATTTTCTTTTTTAGTTACTCTTGTACTTAGGGCATGTTCTCTTCAACTTAATTTTAGTTTAATTTAATTTAGTTTAGTTCAATTCTGTTCAGTTTAGTTTAGTTCAGTCCAGTTTAGTTCTTAATTTCCTTATCTCGTAAAAAAATCAGTTCAGTTCAGTTTAGTTAGCTCATTTCAGTTCAGTAAATTAAAACAGGTCCTTAATATATTAGTTTTCCTGTGATAGGAGGTTGATAAATTCTAATGGTCCTTCCCTGTAATAGGGGGATTATTAGGTTGTTTACCTTACCTTTAAAAAAAAAAAAAAAAAAAAAGTGAACAAAGTATATTTTTATTTATTATTATATACATTATTTATTGATTTTAAATTAATAAAAAAATACTCCCTCCGTTTTTTAGTTGCATTATTTTGCAAATTGCGGACTTTTAGCCATTTTTTAGAGATGAGAGAGATAGAGAGAATAAAAAAAGTGGTACCATGTGATTGGAGAGAGGTATAAAGATCGAGTACAAAGGAAAGTAATGCAACTAAAAAAACAGAGAAAGTACGTTAAAATAGATTAAAGAAGTATATTACAATAGAATACAACGTGTATTCTGTGTGGCTGGCCACGCTGTGTGGCAGGGGTTACCTATTCTTGGGTTACTCGGTCGGTCATGGATTACTTATTCAGGGGTTACTCGGTCAAGGGTTACTTGGTCAGGGGTTACGCGGTCGGCCAGAGGTTACTCGATCAGTCAGGGGTTACTTAGTTAGGGTTACTCGGTTGGTTAGGAGTTACCCCTTGAATTATTAACCCTAGTCACACGGTGTGGCCAACTACATATATGAAACTTTGTGCCTATTTCGTTGAACATGGGAAATTATTTCCCGCATGAAATTATATGCCATGGGAAGTTTTTTCCCTTGCTAATTGCATAAAAATTGTACAAAAGTGTTTGGTTGACATCATGGGAATTAATATTTCCTAAGAAATAAGGAATTCACTCACCTAAGGGGTTCTTGGTGAGTTGTTTCCCATGCTATGTGGGAATTTACATTTCCCTTGGAAATTTCATTTCTTAGGAAATTTCTAACCAAACACAACATATTTTAGACAATAATGAAATTATCAAGGGGAATGTAAATTCCCACCTAGCATGGGAAATAACTCATCAAGCCACCTAGGTTAAGTGAATTCCTACAATGCCACAAGAAGTTATTTCTTAGGAAATACTAATTCCCATGATGTCAACCAAACATTTTGGAAATAACTTCCCGTGGTACATGGTTTTATGTGGGAATTTATTTTCCATTTTGAACCAAACAAGTATAGTATTACTATCATGTCAAAAAAAATAAAATAAAAATATCATATTACTATGATTTCTGAAGGTTTTTTACACTCACTATTTGCATAAAATCCAATACAATCTATACATATAATATCTAATTTTGTATAACATAAAACACAATAGTGATAATTCATGATCGATATTATCTAACCATCAATATTTTCAAACTCAGTGTTAAGAACTTCAAAAACGGAGTTACAACATTAGCAATTGAAATCAAATTCTTACACCTTTTACTTTTCTTAAAAAAAATAAAAAATTCTTACACATCATAACCTACGTAGAAATATTAATATAAGTGTTCTTATAATTTATCAAAACCTTTCTGTTCCTCGTTCCTCGTCTCTCTCCATTCGACGGCGGCGGTTCGCCCCTTTACCACTACCGACCGCTAATTGATCTCGTCTTCTTCCCTTCTTGTAGCTTCAGGCAACCACCAAAGAGACACCGTTTTCGTCGTGACGCTTTCAGGTATCTATATACTTACAAGTGTTTTCTAATTCTCCTTTTAGTTTTGAACTATGTTATTTTCTTGGTTTTTTATCAATTAAATTTTCTGGGTATTGTGAAAGAGTATTCTATTTCTCAGGTTTAGGCGTTTAGCTAATATGTATGTCAATAGTTTGATGAATTTATTTGAGGATATGGTTTGATGGGTTTATGTTGTTGATATTGAATTCTGAATAAGGATTGAAGTTGTCAATTACATCTGTTTAATTGGGGTTGATTTGTTATTATATTTTTATTGGATTGGTTTTCAGTTATTAAATGTTCATGCTTAAATTTGATAAGAATTGGGTTATGCTATAATGATTTATATTCTTTTGGGTTATATTCAAGTGAGGAAGTTGCAAATTTTGTATGAAGATGGGTTTTATTTCCTGAGAAAATGGTATTGTTTGCATGAATTTAAATGAGGTTTCATGTTATTTACTTCGTATATGAATTCTTGTTTTAGATTGTGTTATTTTACTGGTGGGATTTTTGTAAGCTTTCCTGGAGGTGTGTTAGATTAATTTTTATACATATTTTTGTTAGTTGTTGATGTGTTATTGATTTGCAGCTGGGATTTTACGTTTAAGTGTAGTAAAGATGAGTTTGATTTCTCAAAATGCTGTTGTTAAGAATAAAGTGAAAAAGAAGAGCAAGTGGATCGGTGATGAGGGTGAGGAGCCTTCCTTGTTGGAAGGCAGGGAGGAAAGTTTAGAGAAAGAGGGTTCTGATGTTGAAGCTGCTGTAACTCATAAGAAGAGAAAGAAGAGGAATGATGCGGAGGAAAAGAAAATGCTTGCCGAGGAAGAATTGGAAACGCAGAAATTGGGGGATTTTTTGTTTGGTTCTCTTCATTCCCCTGTTGAATTTGGAAAGGGAGATGAAGATGAAGATGAAGATGAAGATGAAGATGAAAAAGGTGGGTTAAATGTGGTTGACTCTGCATTGTTTGTCTTGGACCGCTCTGGTAATAAAGATGTATTAGTTAATGGAGAAGATGGGGGTTATCAAGCGGGAATTGTTGACGAAGATGGTGATAAGCAAAGGAAGCCTGCCTGGATGGATGATGAGGAGGAGACTGTTGTTAATATTTCGAAGGTTAATAGGCTGAGGAAGCTGAGGAAGGAGGAAGATGAGACCGTTATATCTGGTTCTGCGTATGTGTCAAGGTTGAGGGCTCACCATGCGAAGCTGAACCCTGGCACAGATTGGGCCAATCTTGATGCGAAGGTCAGAACATATGACTCTGATGAGGAATCTGAGGTAGAAAATGGGGCGGTGGTTGCTTCAGGGTATAAAAATGTTGATAATATTCTTAAAACTAATGAAGAGCTTGTGGTGAAGAGAGGAGGGAGGCTTTTGCCTGGAATTCTTGAGTACTCAAGATTAGTTGATGCAAATGCAGAAGACCCTTCTAATGGCCCAATTAACTCAGTCCAGTTTCACAGAAATCATCAGTTACTCCTTGCTGCTGGATTAGACCGGAAGCTGAGGTTTTTTCAGATTGATGGCAAGAGGAATAAAATGATGGATTCTATCTTCATTGAAGATTGCCCTATTAGAAATGCATCTTTCTTACCTGATGGCTCTCAAGTTATTGTTTCCGGGAGAAGAAAGTTCTTTTACAGCGTCGACATATCCAAGGGGTATGTGGATAAGATTGGGCCACTGACTGGTAGAGAGGAAAAAAGCTTAGAAGTTTTTGAGGTTTCACCTGATTCTCGTACTATAGCCTTTTTGGGAAATGAAGGTTACATCTTGCTGGTGTCAGCTAAAACGAAGGAACTGATTGGCACCCTTAAGATGAATGGTACAGCTCGCTCACTAGCCTTTACTGATGATGGGCAGCAGTTGTTGAGTTCCGGTGGTGATGGACATGTCTACCACTGGGATTTAAGAACGAGAACTTGTCTCCATAAGGGTGTGGATGAGGGCTCCATTAATGGCACTGCTCTTTGTACTGCACCAGTAGGGAATCTTTTTGCAGTTGGATCGTCAAGTGGAATAGTAAATGTTTACAACAGGGAGGAATTTTTGGGTGGTAAGAGAAAACCAGTTAAAATACTTGAGCATCTCAGAACCGAAGCAAGTTTCATGAAGTTCAACCATGATGCCCAGATTTTAGCCATCTGTTCAACTATGCAGAAGAGCAGCCTAAAGCTGGTTCACATCCCTTCATTTACTGTCTTTTCTAATTGGCCTCCTGCAAACAGAACGCTACACTATCCAAGATGCTTGGATTTTAGTCCGGCTGGTGGTTTCATGGCTGCAGGGAACGCAGCAGGAAAGGTCTTGCTGTATAAGTCGCATCATTATCAGCAAGCATAACTTATTACTACTGTCTGGATGTACTATTATCCTGTTATTTCCAATTTTGCTTAAAAGGAATAGCTTCTCTCTGATTTTGAGAATAACCGAGAGAACTAACCAGTAAGATTTTGTTAGTCTTTGAGATTATTGAGTTGCTGTTCTTAGAAATTCTTCTTTAGCGGTAATGTTATCATGAGCTTAATAGCAGATATTAATTAAAAGTATTTCGAATGTAACAACAGATATTAATCCAGAGTATTTCAAACTGTATTATTTAACTTTCATTTTTTTTTTATTATATTTAAAATACAGCTTAATGATTTTTAGTCTATGACACAGCACATTCTGTAGCATGCTGGTAGTGATTTTAAGCTGCAGCTTGTGATTCTTTGTCTTCTTTGAATTTAAGCTTACCGTGCGCATTTCCTCCAATTTTTAGTATTGATCAAACTATTATTCATATAATTGCATCAACTATGAGAATATATGCTGCCATGCCTGCCAATGAGACTTTGCTTTACCAGTTTACCATAGGTTCTTCAATTTACTGTAATTATTATGCTTGTAGACAGAGTAGAAGCATACAAGTATAGAACATACACTACTACAAAAAAGTGACCTTAAGGGCGGACTCCTCTCATGCAGTCTCTTTGATTTCATTGGAGGTAGAGGTGATCAAAGGGCAAACTGGGCCAAGATGGAAAAAAATCAGCCCATTTGGTCAGGCCGGGCCAGCTTTGGGCTGAAAAAGCTTGCTCAAATCGTAAAAATTGGGGCGGGCCAAAAAATTAACTAAAATCGTAAAAAAATACATGTCTAAAACCCGCCAAAGATCAGACCGGGTCGGGGCAAATGGGCTGGGCTGCCCATAATCATGTCTAATTGGAGGGCAGTGTCATATGTTAAACTTTAATGGTTGATATATTTAATTATTATATTAGAAAGGTTAAATTTTAAAAATTTGATATTCTAATACTCCCTATTAAAACAATTCAATGATTACTTTTTAAAATAAAGCATAAATGTCGATCAAAGTAATGTATGTAAATAATATAAAAGTCAAATGTGACACACAACAGGGAGTATTTTCTACGTTCGATCAAACAATAATATCCAAATGGTTCAATTCATCGTTGGAAAAAACTTTTTCTCTCTCTACAAAACCCTAGCCTTATCCCCCACCGCTCCCCCCTTTCTCATCTATGACTCGCCAGCGATCGGCGCTCCTCTCCTTGCCATCGCCGGCGAGTGTTGTTCTTTGCTTTTTTAGGAGTTTCAGGGTAGAGAAATCAGGGGCGAGAGCAGAGCAGTTTGACGCCTTCGAGTTCATCGGCGGTCTTTTGAGTTTGGTGTGTCGTTAAGTGTTTAGGAATTCAATTACCCAACGAATCAAGAAGCCAAGGCTATTCTTAACGCCGCCGTCGAAAGGAATTTCGTTAATTGTTTCCCGACGGTAAAGGTGAAGTTAAGTCTAGGGTTTCCCCCCTTAATTTAAGGTTTGTTCAAGGGGGCAGTCTTCTTGCGTTGGCCTTGACGACAGGTTGTGGTGTTCGTTTTTGCCGGTGAGGTAGTTTTTGGGTAATCTTTGCTTTTTTTGTAATCTCTCGTGTTGCTTTATGAGTTTTGTAAGATTTCTTTGCTCTGGTTTGTTGTTTAGTTGCTTATGTTTAACCTAGGTTTATTTATGTCTTTGCTTATTTCGCTTGTTTTGTTGTTTGTTTTGTTATTTGTGTTCTGGTTCGAGCTTCTAGCTTTTAATAATACTCATACTCTGTTTGGTTATGAGTTGGAGTTCATAAGGGTGGTTCTAAGTCCGGAGACTTTCGAAGTGGTGGTGTTGTTTTTAGAGTCTGATCGGTTGGATTTACCCTTTATTTTAGGGGAAGTAAGGTTCAGCAGTATCTGGGTTGTTGGGTTGGTCGTCCTCTTAGTTTACTCTTTGGGGTGGGACTGTGTTAAGGGGAGCTTTCCCATTGGTTGGGTGGCTTTCCTCATTAGTAGTTTGAGTGATTCCCTCTGTGTTGTTTTTTCTGACGGTGGTGTATTTTGTGCAAGTGAAAGGTTTTCCCTGCTTTAGGAGTTTACAGGGAGAAGGTGGTTTTGAGGGGAGAGGTTTGATTGCTATTCCTGTTGCGTCTTGGTTGTGGGATGATTTGGGTAATCATTCAGTTATTATCATCCCATTGTTGGTGTTGGTGATGACAAAGTCAGTCATCGCTGTTAATTTCAATCTTGAAGGAAATTAAAGGAGGCTACCCATCTTGGGTGAGGGTAAGCAAAGTCCTCCATTATCTTGCATTCTCTGGTAAAATTGCAGGAAATTAAAGGAACTTGCAGTTTGGTGTAAAGTTCCTAATGATAGGTCGTTAAGACATATGACTTTCTTGTTTTGGCTTCCAGACTCTTGGGAGGTGGCTATGCTTTTAGATCCCTAGGAGTGAAGTCGTGTCACGGGTCTTGTTTTCAGCAACAGGGTACTTTCAACTTTCGGGTGTTTTGTGTCTACACAACTTCCATCGCAAATTTGCTTAAGTGTCATTGCAAGTTTCGGTTCCCTTAATTAGTAGTATTAACTTGCACACTCTGTCCTTCCCGAGGGTTTTGGTTCAGTTGGCAACTCTTGGTCAAGAACAAGGTTTTGGCAATAACGTTTTCGTTGTCTAGGCTCCAAGGTAATTGGTATGATGCAAGGCTACTCTGGTTTAGTCATTCACTTCGTGTTTCCTCTTTTGGTAAGTGGCATACCTAGTATGTGGGTTTGTTAGGGTGTGTCGGCTCAGTCTCGAAGCAGAAGGTTTCTCTTTTGGTGCTTTTATGTTTAGCTAGGTGTGTTTGGTTATTTTAATTTCTTTTTTTAGCTCTGTTAGATTGTAATTTGTTCTTTATTTATGAAGTTCTCTCTGTTCCCAAAAAAAAAAAACAATAATATCCACTTAGTAGATGAAAAGTACATGGAAAAATTTTATTCCTATGAATTTATACCTACTACTGTTGCTCTATTAAAAAAAAAAAAAAAAAAAAACTTGCCACTGTTGCTAATTTCAGCAACATGTAGCGGTGCAATAGGACAAATCATCGGTGTCGTAGCAACTTCCAAATGGAAAACCCTCACCAAGTTTTGGAAATTACTGTTAAAATCAATATTTGTGTACTATTTAACAAGATTCGTGGTAACTTTAAGTTAACTCATCTTAACTATTGAGTGGTTGGGAATCAACGGTACGACCCTTCCATTCAATTTTTTTTACTCTCTCTGCTGGGTGAACTAACGGGAAAGAGAAAAAAAAACAAAGCAAGCAAACAGCCAAACACTGAAACATTTCTTTGAGTTCTTCACTTCTCTGAGTCTCTGAGTTCTTTCTCTCACTGCCTCACTGAAACACTTCTCTGAGTTCTCTCTCTTCGATAAAATCGGCCAGTTCACTGCCTTCTGTCAACCATTGTTGCCGGCAGGGGCGGATCTAGTAGGGGTTCAATGGGTTAGGTTAGGTTCTAGGTCTGGGTTTAGTCCTCCTTTCCTGAACAAACCCAGATCTACGGCCAAACCCCCTCTTGTCCGTAGGGTTTCTTTAACTCAATTACGAAGAATTCGTGGACCTCCAAACAAAATAACGTGCGATGATGAATTCGACGAGGAGTCCCCCTCTGACTTGCTGCTTAAACGTGCTTCTGTTTCTATGAAACCCTAATTCAGTTTATATAATTTTTTTTTTCTTTTTAGAATCCTGTCTAGGTGGTGGAAGAGATATTCATGATTGTATACCAGAAAGGTTACTGGCAGGATGGATTGTTGTTGGTTATATGTGTGTGGTTGTTGTTGTTGATAGCCTACTGCTGTTGTTGTTGATATCCTGCTGTTGTTCTTGAGACATCCTGTTGTTGTTGTTGTTCTCAGGTTGTTGAGATATCCTGTGACACATTATGTCCCTGACCATGAGATACATTGATGTCCCTGACCATGAGATACATTGATATCCCTGACCCTGAGTATATGTCCCAGACCCTTTGTTTCATTGATGTCCCTGACCCTCAGTATATGACCCTCAGTATATGTTCTGACCCTCTGTTTCATGGCCTTTGCCTTTGCAAGTTGGGGAGTGTATATGATGAATGATGTGTTAGAGTATTACTTTATGGCTTTCTGGCAATTACAAAATACATGTCCCTCTGAGAAACTATTTGAGTGTTACAATCAGTCCCCTATGTTAATTCAATTACAAAATCCAAATGATGAAGGGACTCAGTTTATAAAACTTTTCCAAACGTGTATTGCTCTAGTTATTGTGTTAATCACGGACTGTGAGGTAACATGTTCGTTGATGTTTTATGACAAATAAATACCCTTTTGATGGATTTAAAGTTCAGAGTACTTTTTTAATATCTGGACTTCATTGAAATTAATTTTTAGTTTCAAATACGAGTCCCTTTACAAAAGATGTAACAACATAACTGCCCTAGCCAAAAGGTTCTATAAACTAAAGCATATACACCTAACCAACGAGGTAAAGTAACACGAGTCCCACACCATTACAAAAAACAAAAGGTTGGTTATGTGTGGCAGTCAATGCTGTCCATGTATGATGTTTCTTTCCCCCTTTAGTCTGCATCCACCTCAAACTGATTTGTTGTTGCCTTGATCTTGACTTGCTGTTCATATTAATAAAATTACAAATAAAAACAAATAAATAAACACACAATAACCATAAACCATTGTAACATCAAGAAATTCATAATAGTTCATATTAATAAAAATTCAGCAAGACAAAAAGCATAATAGCTCTCTATAACATAAAGAAAGAGCGGTGTAAAAAAATAAAGAAAGGACGGTGTAACAAAAATAAAGAAAGAAAAGTGTTAATATAGTTAATAAATTTACCTCAATTATAAATTAACCCAGCACACTTAAGGTGGTTGCACACTTAAGGTGGTTAAAGCAAATCTAATTTAGGCACCGTAGGAAGAAAAGAGTTGATTTTTGATGCTAGTTCTCCATACGTTGCTGAAAATGCAAAAAGGTAATATTCTCGACAATTCTTCGTCTAAGGTCACCAAAAGAAGAAGAGTTTGCCTTCAAAATAGGGAAAATATGTTAGTTAAGTATATCTAATATATTCTTACTATACCAATATTGTATACATATTACCTTCTTTAAATAATGATGATAACAATATCTAATATATTGCATCTAACATACAATTGTGTGGCGATTTTCCTTTCCAATGGAAATCAAATATCACTCGTAACGGGTGGCTAATAAGAGTCGGTATCTTAAGTGTCCAGTCATCGACACGATATATGTCGTAATTCAATTTGATCACATTGTCAAAATCATGGCGAAATTGCTTGCGAATGAAATCATACGCATTGGCAAATTGGTTTCGTTTGGTCAAAGGTCCAAAACAATGGAAAATGGCAAATGAAGTAAGAGAAAATCCTATCATTAAAAGAAACAAATAAATAACATTAGATAGTGTTTGAAAATCTCTATATTTCATTCTAAATGTTTAAATTCAACTCTTAACATTAATACTCTAACATTAAAAAAAAAAAAAAAAAAATTGGGCAAAATTATTGTTGGTTAGAGAAATGCTTATAAATTGAAAATAATATGAAAAATTTAACAAAACAATAAAATATATCAAAATCTACAGATTTAATACCAAATTCTTGATTATATAATTTTTCTCATCAACTTTATAATTCTTATTATATCAAACAGTTGTAGGCTGTGGTTAAGAACAATTAAATAAACATGAAATTTGTATAAAAACCATCAAATATGAAAATTCAAAGCAAGAATATCCAAAATTTTAGAGTCACTTGAAATTCTGAATTCTAAATGAATTCCAAGCAAAGAATTACATAATCATTTTTATCTCCAACTAATTAAAACTCAATTCTAAACAGGGTAAAGATGGTTACTTATAATACTCCTTCAACATTATTCCAATGCGAAATTTGAAACAATGCCTTAAACAACCTTATGTTACGATCGATATCATAACCAGTTGCAACCAAGTTAATGAAAGCACCAAATTCTCTCAAATCTTTATCAATTTCAGCTAATCACCTACAACTAAAACACAAAATAGTTTTAATTCCATTTTGCTTAAAGATTTGATCTTTATATAAAAAAAAAATTAAAAAAAAACCTTGATTGTCGGGAAGGTCGGAGAGCATGAAAGAAGTATTCTAAACATATAGCTTAGTACAAGCAAAACCCAATGGTTTTTGTTGTTCTTGATGGCATTCGGTAAGACTCTTGGCAATTTCTCTACCAATTGCATTAAAATTGGCCCAGCGGTAATGATTTTGCCCATACCATCTAATCTCCATAAATTACTTTGTGTTTGTCCCACAACCCAATCCCTTAATCGAAGCCCAATATAATGACCCCCACACAAGACCCCTTCGTTTTGCAGGAAACCAACTAACGGACGGAAGTAGTTTACATTTCTATCTTTTATTCTTAGCAATGCCTCCTCCCAATCCATCATTTTACAATTCATTTTTTTAACTTTTCTTCCTTCCCCATGTTCTACATGTATATTACAAACTGCAATATCATTTTCATCCATCTCTTCATTTTGATGAGGAAAATATAATGTATATTTCTTTCTCTTAACAAATCTGATCTCCACAAAATATGTTCAACATCAATCACAACATAAAGAAAAAAATAAAAAAAAAAATCATACCGCTGAATGTCGGGCACTGATCCATTCAGCCATATTAAAGGTCTTTTGTGTTACTTTGAAATAAAAAACTGTAATTAATTTCAAAGAAAAAAAAATTCAGAAAATCAATATTATCAATTCCTAAAAAAAATCAGAAACCCTAACTCCCTAATTTGATAAATTAAACATAAAATCATCAATTTCAAACAACATACACACTAATTTGATAGATTAAATACTATAAACAACTAATTTAAGCTTAAAATCAACCCTACAACTCATATATAATAAGATATTAAAATCATAATTAAGTATGAAAATATGAAAATAATTTACTTGGAGTGCGGTGGCTAGAGACCGGAGTAGTGGAGGGCGGACATGCGGCAAGGCAGTGGCGTCTGCAGGATTTTCGAAGAGGGGGTTCGAAAGTTCATAATCGTAATTAACAAAGGAATGAAAATATAATAATTAAATATTCAGTACCTAAGTTCCAATCAGTCCCCTATGGTAATTCAATTACAAAATCCAAATGATGAAGGGACTCAATTTATAGAACTTTTCCAAACGTGTATTGCTCCAGTTATTGTGTTAATCACGGACTGTGAGGTAACATGTTTGTTGATGGTTTATGACAAATTAATACCCTTTGATGGATTTAAAGTTCAGAGTACTTTTTTAATATCTGGACTTCATTGAAATTAATTTTTAGTTACATATACGAGTCCCTTCACAAAAGATGTAACAACATAACTGCCCTAGCCAAAAGGTTCTATAAACTAAAGCATATACACCTAACCAACGAGGTAAAGTAACACGAGTCCCACACCATTACAAAAAACAAAAGGTTGGTTATGTGTGGCAGTCAATGCTGTTCATGTATGATGTTTCTTTCCCCCTTTAGTCTGCATCCACCTCAAACTGATTTGCTGCTTCATCTTGTGTGCTTGTCTGAATGAATGTGTTGTTCAGGTAAGCCACTGCCACTGCCTGGTCACCACTTCTTGGTTGACTTCAATTATTTCTGAAAGTAAACCAAGTCGTTCAAGCCTCTATTTTCCCATGTGGGGTATCTTGTATTTGTTACCTCCTTCACATTTCAAAATTTCAACCATACATGATTGCAATGTTATCCATGTATGTTTGTTCACAGTAGGGTCAAACTCCTCGTATGCCTCTTTGACTCTCTCGATTAATTCATCCAAGTTTTCTGGAAATGAATGATGTTGAATCGATTGAATTGACCTAAATAGACCTAAATCCAGCACGTTGGAAAACAAATTGGATATTGAAACCCCCTTCTGTAGTTGCAGCCATGAATTCCTCATCGGTCGGGACTTGATGTGGCCTTGCGTTGTCCCACTGAATTAACACATTTTTTGGCAAACTGTTAGGCCACTTGCTTCTAATTGATGGCAGTACTTTTGTAATAAGCATCTTCCTTATTTCATCCCTGTTTATGTTCTGTGTAGCCTTTGTTTCTATTGTACCAGCTGGCCTATTCTTGCTTCCTTTCTTTGCAACTTGTTTGTACACAAACGGGATGATATCGTACTTCCCATCATGAATCAAGTGGCCTAGTTCATCATACAACGGTTTGCCTATTATGCTCATGAACATTGCTTTAGCTTTGAATCTTCTTGACTGTTCACATCTATATGGATCTTCTTCATTGCGAAGAAGATAGAATCTCCTTGTTTCCGGGTTTAAATAAAACCACTTCTCGCCGATGTGAATTACATGGTTCATTGCAAAAAACTTTGGTGGTGAACTTGGTGTTGCAGGTTGTATGTGGGACAGAACCCACTTCAATCTTGCAATTTTGTGATCCGATGTTAGTCTCGGCTTGTTTGTGCTTGTGTGAGTCCTTAAAATGCCCTTCTTCTTTAATTAATGGAGTGTCGATTTAGCTATTTTTAGTGCTCCGGCGTACTTCCTCTCTGTTCTTACATGTAGGGGGACTGATTGCAAAAACTCTTGTGTATAGTCTCTTGACTTTGGACCAGTTTTGCCAAGTTTTTTGCTCTTGACATCAATTACACTCCCCTCTTGCATTTGCTTACATACTTGAAATACGCGTGTGACAGTGGACTTGTGTACACCAAATTGCCTTGAAAGACGTGTTAAACTACCTCTGGGCAGTTTACCGTTGTGTAAAATCAGCAATATTTCATCAATGATTACCCGTTTTTTGGCTGAGGAAAGCTGTTGCCTTGATCTGACTTGCTGTTCATTATGGCCTTGAGTTTGTTGTTGATCATGTTGGCCTTCAGTTGGATGTTGACTTTGCTGCTGTTCTACTGGATCCTCTGACATGTATTCCTCCTCGAGTATTCTGTCAATATTGAAAAATCTGTCTTCATCGGATGAGCTTGTGAGTCCCTCTGTGAAACTGTCCTCCATGACTTTCTGTAATGCATTTGTGGGTTCAAGAGGTGGAGTCCGTGACTTTGAACGCCCATGTGAGGCGAGAAAGTATAGCCCAGTACCAGGTATGGACTCTCATGTCCAGTACCTGAATTAAAAAATTTTATTTTTTTATTTTTTATAGGGAAAAGAATTTTGCAAAAGGTAATTGGAATAAGAGCTGGGTAAAAACATTTCACCCACTAAAAAAGCGTTTCCCTAATAGCGTTTTGGAGAGTGAGCTTTTCTTTCGGGTAAGAGCTTTTTATGAGGTTTCCAAATAGCGTTTTCCGGTGGTTTCTTGTATGAGGAGAAGAATTGGAGCGCGAAAAAGCTAAAGATCTGTTCAATTTCAGGTACTAGCTTTGTCGTCAATAATCTGGTTTAAGCTTAAAAGTTCTTCGTAACAAATCTTTGTGTTAATTTTAGTAAATGTCAATGTAGATCTACAATTTCTAGGGTTTATTGTGCTTTTCACTGAAGTTTTTCCATTCTACAGTTGAATTTGGTGTTGTTACTCTGTAGAAATTAATGAAAGCTTGGAGGAAATGTTGACGATTCGTCCCAAGTAATAGAAATTGATGAAAGCTTGGAGTAGGAAGAACCTGATGTATGTTGACTTTGCTTTAAGTTTGTTTATTCATGCCATCAACTTTTATTTTTATCCAAATTTCATGGTAATTACCTTAATTTTTATTAATTGAGAAAGTAGAAGTAGGATCAGCCAAATATTGGGATAAATGTGTTGTTTGTACTAGCTTCGGATGGTTGGTTTTGATTACTAACCAAATTATTTATTCCAGAATGTTATAATACTACCATAATTATATATACTACCAGATTATATGGCTAAAGTCATGTTGGATTAATCTGAGTGTTGATGTTGGGTGTTTTGGTGATGATTAGTACTTTTTTTTTTTTTTTTTTTTAAAGCAGTAGAAAGGAGAAACTACTCCCTCACCCTATTACAATTAACATACACTATTGCAATTAAAACTAACACAATGAAACATTAAAAGCTCCTCTCTTACGTCCTGTATAAGCTTTCTCCCATCCTACATCCCCACAAGATCTCCTTGCAGCCACCTTTGCACACGCCTATCTTGAAAGTGGATCTGAATATGAAGCAACTTCCTGCTTCTAATCTGCTGTAGGCTATGCAGCAGCGTTTTGAGTATGTTTAGCTCCCTTCTTCCACGAGTCACCCTGAATTTTTCTTCTGTACTCCCCTCTCCTTCCTTGCTCATAACCCAGCTGCCCCATATTTCTTTCCCCTTCGCACTGCAGGCCTTAACTCTCAGCTGCGCTTTGCTGCACTCCTCCCTGCCAGTAATGAAGACATAGGTCTCACTGCTGTGCACCTCCTTATCACAATATATCATCAGTTCAAAACCTGGGGGTTTTTCATGATCTAAATCCTAATCTTCCCATGGGTTACCTTCCTTTGATCTTCGTTCAGTGCTGCTGGCAAGCCTGCTCTCCGCTATCTTAATAGTAGCCTACGGATTTGCTTGGATTTCCTTAAATAGTATCTTGTTTCTAGCCTAACAAATCCCTTCAAGAATCATGACAAAAAGAGTATAGCTATCTTTGCCAGCTGGGTTAGATCATGAAAAACCCATGGGAAAGACTGCTAGAATTATAAGAAAGACTACTACTAGATTATAATAAAGATTACTCTTAGAATTATAAGAAAGACTACTAGAGTGATGATTACTACTAGAATTATAAGAAAGACTACTCTTTGCACCTATATTTCTTGTGTTCCCATCACACCTCTTTCACTTTTCAACCTCCCTCTGTGTCATTCGTGCTCGGGGTTTTCCTGTGTATATCTATAACTCTTCCAACTTCCTGTGTATATCAACTGTGAATTTGAATCTTATTATATTTGGCTTTAGCATAAGATACAATGTTATAGTTTAGTATGATACTAGAATATGAATATGCTGCATATAGTCTAGTATGATACTAGAATATGAATATTAGAATATGATGCAGCAGATGAGCAATGACCACTTGATTTATGCCCAACATATGATCATGTGGGTGTAGTTACATGTCATTATAATTTGGAGTATAATGCGAAATTATAATTGGATAATTAATAAAGATCTTGGTTATATGTTGGCGGTGTAGATTGAAATGGTTAATAGATTGGTATAATTGTTCGCATAGTGAATAGAAAATGCACCCGTAATGGTGCTAATTAGTTGTTGATGTTGAGACTTGCAAATTGATTATGATATGTTGGAATGTGTTACAAAATTTGGTCGTCTTGCCTAAACTCTATATTTGAATGCATATTTTAAATGTAATCTGGCTTGTCTTGCCCAAACTCTAGAGGCCCTCATTTTCTTGCATTGGATATTGTTTTGATAATTTCTCATTACAAGTGTCATTTTTTATAATGATCAATTGCTTTTTGATAGTTAATAGTTATATACTTCTTCCGTTCTTTTAATATCGCATCACTTGCCTTTTAGGGAAGTTTTACAAATATTGCATTATTTCCATTTTAGGATAAAAAATATCTATGTTCACACTGCAAATATCCAACATACCCTTACTTTTTCACACTTTTTATTTAATCTTTACATTACATGACAATTTTGTATTTTTACGTTTCTCTCTCTTACTTTTTCTCACTACCAAATTTTGCCTCCAAAACCCCTATGATGCAATAAAAAAAAAAATAGAGGAAGTATATATATTTGCTTTTCTGTTCTCAAATTGTTTATTTGTACGTTATGGATCGTATATAGGTTGAATGTGAAGTGGAGGTAAGGGAAGGAGCGAGGAGTTATGTACGTGGAGCACCTACTGCCATGTGGACTAGACCTTCTGCCATCATGTGATACAGAGGAAATAGAGGTTTCAGAATTGTTTGGACGTCTTTGGTACCCCTACTTTAGGTAAAGGTTGGATTGTTGATAATGAAGAAGGGAAGCAGGAGGAGGTTGTGAACCTTCCGGAAGCGGGTATGGTATTCTCGAGCTAGGTTGAGGCTGACAAATACTTTAGGCAGTATGGGAAGCAACGGTGTATTGTTGTCTTTCTTGCTGCTGGAAATTCTAAAATAGAGGGTAGGCTGACAAATACTTTAGGCAGTATGGGAACCATCCGGAAGCTAATACCTTTTTTTTTGTTTTTTTTTTTGTTTCTCTTTTTGTAAGTAAACCTGTTGTTTTTGTGAAATTGTCATTAAAAAAAATAAAAGTCAGCTTCATAAATTTATGCTCCTTAATTGAAAGATTTTTGTTATTTCCTTTCCATAATTTTAGCTTCCCATATCCATAATTGTTAATAATCAGTTTTTGAAAAAATAGAGAATTTTTAGAGAGAAAATAAAATTTCAAGAGAAAGAAATAAAGTTTTTAGAGAGAAAATGATGGCTCATGGTGAATTTCGTCACGATCTATGATTGTCGATTTGCACTTGATGATAAGCAGATTGATGTTTTTCACAATTGATATTTAATTTTAGATTTGGTCACCAAATGAGAAGGTAGTTTTTAATTATTTTTTTCAATTTATATTTCATAATTTTGTTGTTGATGATGATGTTTTTAGATTATTATATTTGTTCATGGATCATTGTTAACAAATTCATCACTGAAAGAAAATGTAATTTTTTTTTATTATTTTAGTTTTTTTTAAAAAAAATTGTGTTATTTTCGGAGGTTGAAGATGAAGTTCATTTGGATTAGGATAAATGTTCTTTTATCAATTTTTTTTTTATCCATATTCATTGGAATGAATATGTTCATTGAGTTTAATTAATATGTTCGTTGAGTTTAATTAATATACTCTTGGGGTCTAAACTATATGTTCTTTATAGTCACAAACTATGTTCTTTGGATTTGAACTATGTGTTCTTTATGTTATAAACTATGTTAATCTAATCGAGTATTTTTTCAAAAAAAATCATCTAATTGTATATATGTATATTTTTTGAAATCCGGATCATAAAGGTTGATGAAGACGACATACTTTTGGGACCTCTTCTATTGATAATTGATTTTTCGATAGATATAAGAACATTCGCCATATTAATAAAGAACATTACTTATATTATTTACCCATGTTAAAACATAATTCAAAAAACATTTCACAATAAGTAATGAACATTATGTGACAATAAAGGTACATTAAATTAAAATTACAATCAAAGAACATGGACATTTAAAAATCATATAATGAACATCATAATAGATGCACGTGACCAAGATGAATATCATAACAAAATATATAAATATATAATTGGTTATTTAGAGAATTTTTTTATAAAATAGAAAGAGAACAGAATAAAAATATTGGAATTTGAAATTTTGAAAATGAATTTCAAATTTTGAAATTTGAAATCTTGAAAAAATAATTTTAGAGAGAGAAATTATAAAAAACTGAATATTTTGAAATGAGTTGATATTAAATACGTGGTAAAAATCAATTGGTTTATCTTTTACCTTTTTAAAGATTTGTTTCACCAAAATTATCACGTTCTTTATATTTCAATGTTGTGTTTTTTTATAAAGTCGTGATAATCATTACAAATGTAAATTATGTTCATTTCGCTTTTTTTTTTAAAAAAAAAAACTAGTTTGATCCTGGTGTACCATGCGCATGGTACACACTTTGGTGTACCAACCAACGATTATGTTTTTGAAGTATATACTGTCATGTTAAATACAAATGTAGTTATATTTAAAGGAACACGTTATTTAAGGAATTATACTAAACTTTTTATTTTTTAAATTATATGAACAATACAATTTTATTTGTAATTGGATCAATACATAGTTACATACTACCCCTGTTAGATATTATGTGTAACTTTTGAATTTTTTATATCTCAAATAATATCCAAAAGTTGTACATAATATCTTTTTAACTTTATTATTTATAAAAATGGCATTACTAATAAAATATATAGTCTTGTGAATGACATGAATACAACACATTAATGATTTTAAATTAAAATAATCTAACATAAAATGACATTAGATTACTTACGTAATGCATCAAACTAGAATCTGAATAGCTGATAACCATATTTATCATATAATAACAGTATATCATATTAAAAGAACGGTTTATGGAGTACATAACAATATATATGGGTATATAATAGCCTTTCTTTGACATGTGTTTTATTTTTATGATTCTACAAAGGATTTCTTGGACTTGGTGAAAACAAAAGTATTGTAAACACAAAACTATATTATTGAATTGAATGTTCTGAAAAAAAAAATTAAAATTAAAATTTTATTAAATAAGAAAAATGAAAATAAACAATCCCACCTTTGCTTATTCTAGAAACAATCTCAACTTTAATTATTCCAAAAACTAGTCCCTTTAAAATTTGACATAACCAAACCCAATTTTAACAAAAGAGCTTTATTATTCATATTAACCACTATTTGAAAACTCTCATTATAAAGTATATTAATCTCTTATTACCTTTATTATAACACAATGATTTTTATATTAAACATAATACTCCCTCATTCCTATATTTTTTTGTCCCATTTGACTTTCCATGGTCTACAAAACTTTTTAAAAATATAATAATTTTCTTTTTAAATAGCAACATTTAAACACAGTGACCCTTAGTGGTCCACAATTAATTAATGTGAACTAGGTATATTTGATATTTTTTATTTTTCTCTTTGGTGAATTTTTTTTATTTTTTTCTTTGGTGAAATTTCATACTATTATTTTCGTTTAACTTTTGCTGTAAATTTTTATACAAGGTTCCATTATTAATTCTTTTGACATTACGTACTGTTATTTCAATTCATATACTGTTATTGCAACTCATATATTGTTATACAATATTCGACACAGTTAGTGTTCATTTAACAAATTTACTTTACGTAGTAGTTTATTCGATTATACTTACATATTATACCTCCTACGTTTTTTGGTACTTGCATTATAAAACACTCACTTTTCCTAAATCATTTAAGAAAAGTGGGTCTTAAATGATTTAGTACATTTAATATGTGGTTAAAAGGTTGTTAGGAGTATAATCAAGTGAGCTATGAATACATTAACAATAATGGTATTAATTAAGTTGGTTATGTTTGCAAGTATAGTAACATATTCATTTAAGGAAGTATTGTAAGCATTTAAAAACATAAGAAGTCTAATTGGCTATTGGTGCAGTGGTGATTAAGGCCGCACTTCATAGCGAAGACCACGTATTCGTTCTCCCACAACAACAGTTGGGAGGTGACTGGAACCTAACCGCCCAGAATTGAGCCCCAAATCTGGATTAACCCAGAAAGTGAACCGGATGGAACACCAAAAAACACTCACTCCTTTGATCGTATTTGTGATTAAATGTCTTTTGCTATATTAAACTATACTTGTGTTATATACCCACAATATACGGTTATTTTAATTTAAATATTGTTATTTTAGTCTAAATAATTTTATTTTAGTTTATCTTATGCTATATATTTTTACACATGGTTATTATGCTTTATTAATTCCGCTGATATTGCATACTATTATTTCAATTTTGATACAATTATTATAGTTTATACCATGTTATAAAATTATAGACAAGATTATAGTGTTCATAGTAACCTTAAAACATACATAATTATAAAAATTGGACTATTATTAATAAATAGTTGTAATTTTACAATATAATTCCAAATAAAATTTACAATGGTTTAAGACTAGGATTATTACAATCAACCCACAATATGTGCCAGTGGCAGCTCCTTTCTTCCTGCTACAGTGTAGTCTTGACATCCAACTTGTCCTTAAACATCAACAATTAGGATCAAGATCATTAACAATTCATCATAGTATTGCATAAGCAATCCAAGAAATTCTTTTTTATAACAACCAACTAGTACAATGTGCTACATAGCCAAACAAATTAATCCATAGCAAGTTTCTGAATCAAAATATCCTTATTTTTTTTTTTTTACAAAACCTGCAACATTTAATTTAAGGCACTAAGGCTCCTGAATCAACCAAAACAAGATCGTGGATTTCAGGAGGGTACTCCTACTTCCACACTCTACACTCCTCATAGTTTTTGCTCACCTTTGCAAGGGCATGAGCAGCATGATTTCCTTCTCTTTTTACAAAAGAAAAAGAAAAACCATTACAAAAATTAATTACACTAAAAATATCCCTCAGAATGTGGCCAAAATCTGATGGAGGAACCAGTCTTTTCTGCAAGTGGTTATACAGCTTGATATTGTTGGTTTCGAGAACAAGATTAAAATATCCTTTTTATTTGGATCAATATAAAAGAGTCATGTTTAATTGAAGGTTCCTAGCAATTGAGGAAAGTGGGTAATTCACTTAATTACTTTGAAGTGAAGCAAAATCTAATGCCTTCTACCTACACAAAGTATTAAAATACAACAGATTAATCAAATATGCACATAATATCAGCATGAAAAAAGTTGATTATATAATATACTTGTATAGCTTTGTATACTAACCATAACCCCTCAACAACAACAACACAATCAGCAAGGTTTCTTTGTATCCGGTAACTCTTGTGCACTTTCTGCATCTAAACAGCAGCAGCATCAAGCTCAGATACCTGCCTTGGAGAAAACAGAACTGCATGTTCAGGAAGAGTGGAAGCAAGCAGAGACTCGTGAATTAATCCACTCCAACTCATGTTACGTGGAGCATTAGTAGGATCATACTCTTGTACTAGAGTGTCAAATAAAAGAAGGTGATTTATCAATGATCCCTTCCCTTGTTTTCCCTGCATTTCCTTCAATCCAAACACACTCTAAAGGATTCAAGTCTCTTAAAACTTGACTTCCTCAATGGAAAGCACCATGCCCTCAAAGATATAGTCATTGCAAACTAGAGTGAACAAATTTTGCCTCAAAAAATTCAAGTTAGGCTGAAATCAATATGGAAACTAATAATCGCATTGATAATCATTTTAGAACTAAAATTTAGGTAATATATTCCTATATTTGGAATCGAAAATTGAAATTGTATGTCATTTCTGAACATTCAAATTGTTGGCCCAAACCAAAAACAATCCCTAGCAACTAACATTCAAACCTCGAAAAACTTGTAATAAAAAAAGAAAATATGAAAATGGAGAAGGTGATGTTCACATTGACAAGCACTACTAGAGCTCCCACAAACAATTCAGCCAGAACAAGCAAAGATTCTAGGGAGCAAACTAACTGATCTAATAGTGCAAATTAAGAAATTGGAGCTAATTTAATCTTCATGCCTCTGAACTCTAAAGGGTTACAGCTAAAATAATACACAGTTAACAACAAATATTGAAATCTGAAACCTAAATCTAACCATAACCGATAATAAAAGGAACATAAAGGAGTTTAACAAAAAAACAAAATACATCAAAATTAAAAGTAAACAACTAACTTTTGTTGTTAATTCAAATCAGTCAAAGACAACCCTTTATTTCGATAGTCCGGCCACCTCGACTCGCCGCCCTTCCATCTTGACCACCTCTCTTCCGCCACCTCGACCTCGACCTTATTTAAGCAAAATCGCAAAACCCTTAATACCTAAGTTCTATATCAAATTCCATGAATTGTAAACCCTTAACACAACGCTAAATTGAATACTCTTTCAAAATCCCTAAATTGAACACCCTTTCAAAATCCCTAAATTGAAAACCCCAAACTGAATACCCTTAATTGAAAACCCTTTCAAAATTTCTAAATTGAAAACCATCCTTTCGTGTGGTAGCTTTGCCTGACATTATTGAGCACACCACCGTATTTGCAAGCTTCAACGGCATATTGTTCACCTATGTTCAGTAGTGTTACCACTCAAAATTCAGTTTAGATCAGCGTTTTCCGGAGCGTTTTTGGGTGGAGTGGCGTTTCGAAGAAGAGAGAGAGACAATAATTTTACAGCTTACCCATTTAATAACTTTTAATGAAGTTACCGTCTTAATGTAAGTAAATGACGATTATACCGCCCGGTATTGGACATGAGAGTCCATAGCTGGTAGTAGTCCATCACGCCTCGACACAGATGTCAATCCAACCTTTCCCTCAGTTCCAAGTGGCTACCCTCGCTCCAAACAGGATCATCTGTCGAGAATGAGATAAAAGAGGCAAAGCTATGACTACAACTTTCATTTTAGAAAAATGGATAGCACGAACCTCTCAAAATAACAGGGCCATTAACTGGAGCAGTCTTCTTTGGCTCCGAAGTCCTAGAAAACAGACCACCAAGACTTCCTAATAGCTTTTTCCCCCTGTTGGTGAACAGATATTTAATTATGGGTCCTTAAAAAGCTAAACTAAATGAAATGATAAAATCCAAGAGATCAGAAAGAAGAAATAACCAGAATCCTAATATATGAATATAATTATAAAATAACAGACGCAGTTTTGCAGAATTATCAAAGATAACCACCGATCCACAGCGAAACACACAAGTATATTAGAAGAAAAGTTACTATTCAAAAAAAAAAAAAAAAGAGAAAAGTAACACTGACAAATTTTACTCCTATACTGTCATTGTTTCGGTTAGAAAACAATGGACCTTCAATTGGCCCTTTCGGATGAGTGGAGACGAGGCCCAATTCGAGTGATGACCGAATTGAGGATTTCCTGCACAGCTAGACAAACGTAAACTAGCCTCGGGGGGTTGTGCCGAGGAAGGCCCCTCCGATGCCGAAGTCAGTACGAATGTAAAATAGAGAGAGAATAGCTCTGCAAGAGAGTTTGTTGCTTGAGGCTATAATTGTGAATGTGTAATGAATGAGATAAATTGAGCTTTTATACCTTGGTCCAAATGAATGGGGTGGGCTTGAGGAGTCAAATGGGCTGACCACTTGACTGGGCTTCGTTGACTGACCTGACATATGGGCCGGAGGGTTGAACCTTGCTATTTGGGCTTTGCTTATTTTCATATATGGACTGGGCCCAAATATAAGTTATTTGGACCCCAAACAACTTGCCCCCCAGACCCGATTCGTAAGGATAACGGGTCGGGTTTTCTGATTTTTGAGAAATTTGGAGGGAAGTAAATGAAAATAATTTAAATTAAGAGAAGTTGGGTGGTTATTATCACTAATAACCGTTAACTTGAGCATGATTGGAAGTTATGGGGAAGTGGAGTAGATTAGTGGGCATTAATTGGAGGAGAATGCAAATAAGTAAAGAGTAAAGTGAGATTAAGGTGGTAATTAGTGGCGCAGACCTCGAAAAACTTGTTTCCAGAGGACATTTAAGCCATTCATTCCTTAATTCTTGCTTACTTAACTCAGATTCGCATAAACAAACCCGCATTTCGCTAAGCTTTCCCCTGTACCCAAATCTGTTTCGCACTTAAATCTAACAATCCGAGGCTTTTGGACGAAGTTCGTTGCTCCGACTGCAGAGATCGGCAAATTCCGCACTTAACCGAGGTAATTTTTTCTAGAATCCCCTCAGCTTTCTTTGCTTTAGAGCTTCCCCCTTTTTTCCGTCTTTTCGAACTTCCGCTCAACCGGAAAATGGCCGGCGACCGGGGAAAAGAGCCACTCAGGTCCGAATCAAGCGCCGAGGAGGAAGAAGAAGAGGTGCCGCAGCTAATTCTGAGGCGAAATCGCCCTTTGGCGATGATGCCACCTCTCAGTGGCCAAAACCCTAATGCTGGGGTCGCGCCAGCTGCCGCTTCGAGTGGCGCTGCCTTGAGGGTAGTGCCTTTATCCAGCTTCCCACCTAGAGGTTCAGCTGAGGCCAGTACCTCTGGCCGAAGTGGGGCTTCGGCATCCAGGCCGCTGACTCCCAAAGAACGGGAGTGGACTGAAGTCAGAGAAACGAGGGCATTATGAATGCTGCGCCCTATTCTTGGTGGATTGAGAATGATGCCCAATACCATTTTGCCGAACTACTCGAGATATATTACGACATTATGGAAGAAGATGGGTACTAGTGCCGATGACAGGATTCATCGACCCCCACCTGGGTATATCGGGGTCTACACTCGACAATTGCAAAACGGGCTTCGATTTCCTGTTCACTCTTTCGTAATCAAATTGCTGAACGGATACAACATATCCTTATCTCAGCTGACCCCATTGAGTGTCCGAAGAATTATGACCTATCTTTGGCTGTTTATTTTGTGGATTTGAGCCGAGCGTTCACTGTTTTCGATGCATTCACAAACTTGCGCCGAACACCCAATCTAGCCGGTGGCATGGCCCTGGGTGGTGGCAGATAGAGGATGAGAAGGGATTTCTCACGTCTTATCCGAATGACACTTTGGATAAAAATTGGAGAGGGCAATGGATCTGGATCCGAGCACCCTCTGATGAAGCTCATCCAAACTATTTCGAGGCTCCTCGATATCTGAGAAAACCATACCCCGAAATGTCAAGCATCGTCTCCGATGAATTCAATGACCTTGATCATCACCAAATGGAGTTGTTTGGCCGAAATAAGATGATTGTTACTAGCCGAATGGCCAACGTGTCGAGCACCTTGTTGCCCTGTTTCCATTACATCTTCCAAGAGAAGATGCTCGCTGTCGTCGGCCTCAGCCGAAGACACCAAGGCGGCAAGGGATTTGGCTGGGGCCGAAGTCTTTTTATGCTTTATTCTTTTTATTGCTTGTTGACTTGTGAACTTTAACTTTTTTCAGCTGAACTCATCTTCGTTTTCCTTGACTTTTCAGAGTTGTACGAAGCAAACTCAGGCATTGATTACGAAGTGCTCGGGATCAGTGAGGAAAGGGGACCACTCACCAATACGCCGAAGATCACCGAGATTAAAGATCGGCCCCTTGCCCTCCAGCCGAGAAAACTTCAAATTGTCAGCGCCGTAGAGTATCAGAGGCAAAAGGCCTGGCATCAAAAGATTAACCCCTTCTTCCTTCACTAGGCTGAAGAAGATGCTGCTAAGGCTGCTTCTGCTCCTCAAACCGAAGCAGATCCATCTGCCGCAGCTGTTGAGCCAAGAGAAGAGGGAGCCCACAAGGAAAAAGGTTCCAATGACGAGCACTTGCTAGATACTTCGGTGAGTTCTTATTGCTTTCTCAATTTTGCGAGAAATTGCTTAAGTACAAATCTTCGGCTCCTTCATTTCCTACAGCTTGAGCATGCATGTTATACATAGCTTTCAAAATTTGTAAGAGTTTCTCTAAGTGTAGAACTTCGGGTGCATGTTGCACTTTCTACTTAAACTTTTCAACTTGTGAAAATTCGTCCAAGTATAGGACTTCGGCCTGAAGATTACTTCTTCTTCTTCTTATTCTTTTTTTTTTTTATTATTTATTATTTATTTATTTTGCTTGTATTGATCCCTGCCCCCCTTTTTCTCTTCTGCTTCAGTGTGACGAAGAGGGAGTGCAAAAAGGAGATTCTGCCGAAGCATTCCCTGTTCCAGATTCACCGGAAGGAGGAATGGCCGGCGAAAGAAAGAGGCCAAGGAGGCTTGTTAGTCCGGGAGAGTTCGTGGCTCCCCAAATTCCAGAGAAGAGGCCTCGTCTCGAAGAAGACAAGCAGGAAGAGGCCAAGGAGGTCACTTCTCCGCCCTCCGAAATTGTTGTTGAGGGGTAATCATTCTGCAAACTCCCCCTCCCTCTCCAGTCCATATGGCCGAAGCCACCTCTGAAGAGGCTTGGAGAGAGGCCGACGTGCTGATCGTCAATGCTGGAGACGAAGCACCTACTGCTAATGAGGACGGGCCGAAGGAGGCCGAGGTAGAGGAGAAAATAGAAGAACCCAAAAATGATGCGCCGTCTACCTCGGCTGCTGGCTCCTTTAAGACCTTTGAGTCCTCTAAAATGGGTTTCGGCTCCACGCCCTTAGTCCCTGTTCCAAAATATGCCCAAACTCTTTTTGAGTCTAAGAGAGACTCAGTGACTGAGTACTTCGGCAATCTGGCTAACTTGTCAGCGTTGGACAAGGCTAGAGCCTGGATGGTTGGTGCGGCTTCTAGGGCGTCCGAGCCGCTCGCAAAGGTGCTGAATCCTTTTTTAGAAAATCAAAAACTGCTGATGCAGGTGAGCCCTTGGACTTTGCTTTTCTTTCAAGTTTTCCTTTTGCTTTTGCTATAATTTCTGATTTTTTGCTTTTCTGACTTTTGCAAAAAATTCTCTAAGTATAGAACTTCGGCTAACTTTTTACTTCAACTTTTGCAAGTCGTTCACAACCATTTCCTTGTTGTGGAAATGAACGATGAGCTGAAGGCTAAAGCTGACAAGGCTGAAGAGGCTGAATGCCGAGCTCAGCTTGCTGAGCTGAAGCAGATGAACGCCGAAGATGAAGCCTCGGCTCTGAAGCTGAAGATGCGGAATATGAATGACAACTTCCTCTCCTTCTGTCAAGACCTGGAGAAAACCGTTTTTCCGTGGCTAGACGAAGGCCATGCTCTAATCCAGGAATACGGGGCTGAAAGAATTGCTGATTTCAAAGCCCGTATTGAAGACAGGGTGAAGAGAGAGGTTAAGACTCGGCGTCTCCAGGCTTCAGATTATGAAGGCCAGATTGTCTGCATCAAAAATGAAGCTAAGGACAAGCAATCTGAGCTTGAAGCTGAGATTACGAGGCTGAAGGATGAGCTGCAGGCTGAGAAAGACGGATCTGCTCAAGCCAAGACAGAGCTCGAAGCTGCGCAAAAATTGTTGGAGACTCGGATTTATACCGAGGAACAATATGCAGAGGGCTTTGAAAATGAATGGAAGACTGCTCGGCGTCTGGCTTTTCATATTGAGCCCAAGATCAACTGGGACCAAGCCGAGGACTGGTCCATGGACCCTGAAGATGCTCATATGACCTAGGCCAGTCAGGCTGAAGTGGACTTCCTGGTCCGTCAAGCCGAGCTGAGGCTCGAGCTGAGAAGGAAGAGGAGGCTAAGAAGGAAGAAGAGGCTGAGAAGCCTGAACAGGAGCCTGTCCTTCCTGCCTCGTCTTCGGCTGGAACTGCGCCCTCTCAAGTTCCCCTTGCTAATGCTGATACTGAAGCTGAAGCATAGGAACTCGGGCAGCCGTCTTCAGAATCGTGCGGATCAACCTGCGCTTAATTTGTGAATGTCGCATCTGTTTTTGCCTGTGTTCTTATCTTCAGCTTGCCTTTGTACAAACTTTAAACTTGTTTTTGTGTACTTTCAGCAGCTGTGTTTTCCGCTTTGTGGGCGGCTGCCGACTTTGAATTCTTTAATGTTCAGAACTTGATATTTGTAGCTCTAACTTTTCTGAATGATGAAGTAGAATTTTAGCTTTTTCTTCTCACTTTGCCTGTTTGAGTAACTTTGAACTTAGTTGCTTTTCTGAATTTCTTCAAGATTTGGCTAAGTATAAAGCTTCGGCTTGAAAATATTTTTCTGAAAATTTTCCTTCATTCTTTTTTGCCTTGCCCATTTTGCTCGGGTTTTGTTTGAAATTTCCCAAGTATTGAGCTTCGGCTTGGAGCTTGATGGGTGAGTACCTCTTGCCCCCCCCCAGAATTCTTGAGACGAGGTCTTCAGAGTTCTAAGTTTATTGCTTTCATTTTTTTTTTGGCGCAGCCGAAGGTTTATTGCAACATATCAGTTTGAACACTTATGTTTGTTTCTTATGTTTCGCCTGGTTTTAATTCATCTGAGGGAACAACTATCTGGGACACAGTGCTAGGGCAATGATCATCCTAAGTACAAGGCATCATTATGAAATACTTCGGAGGTGTAATCATCACCCGGAATCGACTTGCCGAAGCACAGGGCATCATTATGCAATGCTTCGGGCCTTTTATCAATTCCTATTTTCGGCTATGTCGTAGATGAGCCTATGACCTCTTTGCTGAGAGTAACAAATCCGTCTGAGGTACAGTGCATCACTATACAATACCTCGAGGTTCTATTCGTTACCCCCATTTCGACAGGTTCTTCGGCTTGCCGAAGTACAGTGCATCACTATGCAATACTTCGGACAGCGCCGGGTGTAAACCTTGAATTTTTCAAAAACGATGAAGACAAAAATAATGAAAACATAATGAAACTTTGACTAATGGTGGCTCAAAGGCCTTTCATTGATTGAAGAAAATGTACTTACATAGATTGTTCTCCCACAATGGGTTTTACGCATGATATCTCTTAAGTACATCAGCATTCCATTGGTTTTTCAGCTCAGCTCCGTCTAATTGCCGAAGTCGATAAGTTCCTGGCTGGAGCTCATCGTATATTTCATAAGGCCCTTCCCAGTTAGCCGAGAGCTTTCCATGGATGCGGCTTTTCTGGACAGCATCAGCATTCCGAAGAACAAGGTCTCCAACTTTGAGAAGTCTTATACAGACCCTTCGGTTATAGAATTTGCTGATTCTTTGTTTGTA